TTTTTTTTTTTTTTTTGCTCTTCACAAGAGGTGTTTCTCCATGTCCAAAACTACCCATTGCTTGATTTCTCCTGGGATGCTCACATGCCAACACTACATACTGCCTACAGAGTACAACAGCTCTGCCCTCTTTGGGGATAAACTGTTGGCGAATTTTCAGGCTGTCAATAACTTCAGCAGCTAATTAAAGAATTCTCGACCTTAAATTGTTTTGTATCTGTCTACTTCTATCATGATAAACTTGGAGTGATGGCCAATTAACTATTTTAGATGCTGTTAAAATTAGAACACAGTCAAGATTAGAAGGGCATTCTTTTAAGTCTGTTTTTTAAAATAAAGAACCAAGACATGTTCAGCCCTTATTTATTCTTCTGTTAAGGGTTACCTCATAGTGGTCAATTCAGATCAACATTACATCACCTATATGTCCTCAAAATATCTTTAAGATATATTTGGCAAAGTTTTAATCCAGAATTCTGGAAATAGAGGGCAGGATGAAATTGTGTTCTTAAAAATTCTATTTCTTTTATGGAAGTGCATCTGAGTTAATCAATTCCCAGGAAAGAATCCAAAAACTTGCCTCTTGAGAGCATGGTATCCCCAGGCAAAAACAGGTTATCCATTTCTCAGACCTGTTACTTAGTTTAGAATATTTTAACAAATATCGTAAAATAAACTGTTCCTAAAAACAAAATAACAAAAGTGCACAAAGGAAAAACATGCAATCTCACGTTTCTTATCAAGTAGACTCTTGGAAGGTGAACAGTACAGTTGGTTCAGTGGCTCTAAATAAAAGAACTAGGTCCTAAAACAGAGGATTCTATTATAGACAGAGAAGTATTCAACCCATACACAGAAATAGAACACAGAAAAAATGGAGACTAAGCAGTAGCAGTGTAGTCAGGCACACAACCAAGGCAAGATTCGAGAAGAAGAAAAATGAGATGAGGAAAAACAGAAGAGCCAAGGACTTAGAACATGGAATGAGAACAAAACAAAGTTGTATTCTTCAACAACTCTGTTCAGTTATTCAAGTTCTAGTATGCTTGAACTTATAGCAGAATTACATTCCACCTGAACCAGTAACACAATTCCCTGGTGAACCAAACCTATGGTACAGACAGTCCACACCTGACATACCTTCTGCACACACCAACAGGTAGAATGGTAAGGAAAACAAACAAACAAACAAAAAACACCAAACAGGAAAGGCATCAAAACAATAACTTAGTCATACATGGATTGACATATAATCTATACTGAAACACCATGAATGTATGTTTTTCAACAAATAGCAGTCTTTAAATGCTGACCAACTGAACTATAAGTGAATAAAATCAGATTCCAGATGGCCCTGAATTTCTTTAATTAAAACGGACTCTATCCTTAAAATATAACTGGGTTTAAGATAGTTGAGGGAAAAAGATCAGAGAAAAAAGCAAGTGTTGGTTTTTATGTGTGTGCGTATGTATGTATGTTTCTTTGTTTGAAGTGGTTATCCCATTTCTCCCAAAAAACACATTTTCTAGTCTTTTCTCCTTATGCCCACCAAACATGCAACCTGAAAAAAAAAAAAAAAAATCCATGTCAGAGATTCTGCCAAATGTATGCCATGGTATTGTCTCCATTGCCTTGCCCCTTACCATTCCCTACCAAAATCAATGGCCATCACATGGAAGTGCACTAATATTCCTTTAGGACATTCTTATGCCACTGCTGCTTTTTCAACTTATTGTTGGAACTTTAACCTAATCCATTATCTTCTAAACTCCACAGTGGACACATAACCTAGTTCCTTATCTTCTAAATTCCAAATGAACCAAGTACTGTTGTCACTCGTAACCCTGGGCGAAGGTTAAGTTGAACATAGTGTTATTTTATTTGTATATTTAAACTTTTCATTAACTCAAAAATAACCCAGATTTCTTTTTTTCTTTTGAGACGGTGTCTCGCTCTGTCGCCCAGGCTGGAGGGCAATGGCATGATCTCGGCTCACTGCAACCTCTGCCTCCCGGGTTCAAGTGATTCTCCTGCCTCAGCCTCCTGAGTAGCTGGGACTACAGGCGCCCGCCACCACACCCAGCAAATTTTTATATTTTAATAGAGACAGGGTTTCACCATGTTGGCCAGGACGGTCTCAATCTCTTGACCTCGTGATTCACCCGCCTCGGCCTCCCAAAGTGCTGTGATTACAGGCAT